AAATACTCAGTTCAGACACTTTTTTTTTCATTTCACTGACGTATAGTTGACTTACAATGTTGTGTTAATTTCTGTTGTACAGCAAAGTGATTCAGTTATACATATATATATTTCATATATTTTTAATATTCTTTTCCATTATGGTTTATCACAGGATATTGAATATAGTTCCCTGTTGCTATACAGTAGGACCTTGTTGCTTATCCATCCCATATGTAATAGTTTGCATCTGCTAATCCTAAACTTCCGATCCTTCACTCTCCCACTCTTCTCCCCCTTGGCAACCACAAGTCTGTTCTCTGTATTTGTCAGTCTGTTTCTGTTTCACAGATATGTTTATTTGTGTCATATTTTAGATTCCACGTATAAGTGATATCATACAGTATTTGTCTTTCTCTTTCTGATTTACTCAGTATGATAACCTCTAGATCCATCCAAGTTGCTGCAAACGGCATTATTTCATTCTCTTATGTGGCTGAGTAATATTCCATTGTGTGCGTATAACGTGAGTTTCAAGGAGACCAGCATGTTTGTAAGGCCCCTGAGATTGCAAACAAATCTTTTTGTGGGAATAACAGGTACATGGTTTAAATCGGTTTTAATATAGGGTCTGTAACCCAGAAAATAGTTAAGAACCACTGATTTAACCTAAAATCTGATTCATTTAGCCATACCCACTGTTTACTGCTCTTCCCAACACCTGTAATTTCAGACTCTCTTCCTCCCAGATGCTCTGATGTGCTTTTTGCTCCTTTGCCAGCTATTCCCACTGATTTCCCCACGGCCAGCTTGAACTTACTCTGGGTCCAGAGTAACTCTGGCTACAAACAGGAAGTGTTTCAGCTTCTTCACCCCACATTCAGCTATCATTTCCCGGACTGACCTGAGATGTGGTTTGCCAGGGTTTTCTATTACCTCAGCATGGCTGATTGTTACCTAATGTCTTTGGGTCCCTCCTGAACAGTCGTGTGTGTTTGATGATTGAAAGCTCCCTCCATCCCTGGCATCACTGCATTTGGCCGCTTGTATGCTGCATGACTGTCTCCATTGAACGACTGATTTTCCACTGCCAGGTCCTGTCCTTCTTTTTATAAGCGCTGCTACTTCATCTTAGGCTCAATAATAACAGTGATGCTGCCAAATAACAACAGCAAGAATGCAGTGCTTACATATGCTAGGCAGTACACTTAAAGTTTTATACGTGTTGCCTCATTTCTTCCTGACCACCGCCTTGTATGATACACATTTTAACAAGGACCTTCCATTTAATGGTAGCTACCCTTTCTTGAGCAATCACTGTAAGCCAGACATTTTGCTAGGCTGTACATATATTAAATGTAATCCTTACAGACATGTGAAGTAGGTATTTTATCCCCAATTTATGGAAGAGGGAACTGAGAAAAAAAAAGAGGCTAAATGACTAGATTTACACAGAGAGCAAACTGATTAAATCTCAGGGTCTACACTCTCAGTTCACAGTTACATAGGCTGGTCTATGCCTTACTCTCCCACTAGAACCTAGGACACCAGTAGACGAGTCTAGCCCAGGCCCTGGTTTCTGCCTTATTGAATTGTGTCTGAATATGATATTCATATACGGGGAGTTTGAGCGATAATACTTGCTCACAGATTGTATATGTTCTTCAGTTCCTTTGCTGTTCACTCATTCACTTATCCATTCATCTACTTGTTTGGCATCTATTTATCGGGTGCTCATTCTACCTTCAGCATTGTGCAAGGACTAGGGAATTGAGACTAGAAAAGCACAGCTTGGAGACAGACATGCAGTCAAATACCATGGTCTAACAACAGACGTAATAAAGGAGAGGAGCCTGAATTTGTGAGTCAGGGCCAGCAGACGGGGGCTAGTGCTTGAATTGGGTCATAAATGATGACCCAGGGGAGGCACTTCAATCAGAGGCAAGAGAATTTGGAAGGAGCATATGACAAGTTCAGGGAGCCACAATAGGTTCAGCAAGTGCTGGGATTGAGGCAGGAGATGAGAGAGATGGCACAGGAGGTCAGGAAACAGATCACTAGGGGCCTTGCATATCCTGCTGAAGAGTGTGGGTTCAAATGAAATCTTCAGATGAAGCCTGCTATTCCTCCACTACATAGAATTTATATTAGTAGACAGTAGAAACCACATCTTGTAATTTTGGGGAAATATCCCCTAGAGCACTAAGTTAATATTACTTATATAATGGAGTCCCAGTAATTCTTGTTGAATGGGAATTTATAATTTCTTAATATGTATTTGCTTAGCAAATGCCCAGAGAGATAACACTATAACACACCCTATCATGTTTGAAATATTCTTTAAGTCTTTCTCTCTTTCTGGTCAGCCTAAAAACACTGAAAAGTAGATAGCCTGAGAGATCTGTCTGAAAGGCTTACTGATTCTAAATGATGTGTGGAATTATCAGGGGTTAGTACACACACAAATACCTCTCTGCTCGGGAAGTTTACCTCCTGTGACGAATTTGATATTCACCCCGTAAATTCAATCTTACCTCCTGTGACGAATTTGATCTTCACCCCATAAATTCAATCTGCTGACTTGCCTATTTACATTATTTCTGATTATAGTTTTGGAAATCATTTAGAAAATGATAGTTACTAAAAGAAAGGACCAGGGGAAGTTTTAGGACCAAGTGCTTTATTTCATGTTTCCTAATAAAACCTGATAGCTGCAAAGTTTTGTTGTATTAGGTACACACTGAAAGAAATATCTGCATTTTCTCACTTCTGCATGTTTTAGTTTGTCTCAGAATTCCCTCAGTGCCAGTCTTTCAACAGGCTGGGGCATTACTCCTGGTTAACCAGCTTTCCCATTTTCTCTGCAGATGCCTACACCCTGCCAAAGGCAGTATAAGGCATCGTGACTCAGGAGACAAAAGAAAAGATGAACACAAGGTTTCTAATGCATCTCCCCTTCTACCTCCAGCTGTGGAGCCTGAGAATGGGGAATTTGTTCTTTGGAGTAACTGAATGTCAAATGCTTTCTTGCTTTCAATGTGGTCCCTCATCTTAGAGCTCATTATTTCTTTAAACGTATCTAAAGATCACTTGGTAATTTCACCTTCTTATGCAACTTAAGTACAAGAAAAAAGGTGCTTAGCGTGTTCCAGAGTGTTTGATCCCAAGCTTTCATGTTGTCTCATGCCTCTCCTTGCACTGGTATGAGATAAAAGGAATCCAGCTGTTTTCTTGTTAAAGATCAAGGTGATCAGGATGGCGATTCAGGACATAACTATGATCGCTGCAGGGAGAGGAGAGGCTGTGTGATGTTCTCCTATTAGGCACAGTATGTCAGATGTATGTAGCTGTCCGAACGGGTCATTTTATGCCTATTTGTGATTTCTCTGTTGTTGTTTCTGTTGCCAGTTTTAAATTCCTGGCATCATCCTCAGTAGAACTGAACAAGAGCTGTTATGAGTGGTCCATTCCAATGGTAAGAGAATAGCTAATGTTTCAGATTCTTACTGTGTTGCTGCACTGTTCTTCACAAGTATTAACTTTACTCTTTATCCTCACAATAATGCTGTGAGATTTTATTCCCATTTTACAGGTGAGAAAACTGAGACACAAGGAGTTTAAGTAACTTATCCAGGTTACATTGCTCATAAGTGTTGGTGGAGCTGGAATTTAAACCCAAATAACCACGCCAGGAATAGGATGAGGTAAGAGAGGGACCCAGGGCACGTAATTTAAGGAAGCACTCTCTCTCAGTCTCTTGGAAGTGCAGGGTTCAAGCTTGAGAGTAAGTGCCTCCTTAAATTGTGTGCCCAAGGCACTTCTTTGCTGTTAGCCATACTTCAGTCCCAGCCTTGTAAATAACCTTGGTTTGGAGCCTGGGTAGTATTAACCTTCATACTGCCTGTCTCTCTGGTCCTGACCCTTATGGATCAGAGCCAGCCTTCAATGAGGAAGTAGATTGAAGAGCCTGAAGAGGGGTCTGTAGGTGTTGAAGAGACTAGCAGAGATAAAGACCTAAGTAGGTATCTTTCTTTAGATTTCTCCCTTGCTCTTGGCTGGGCATTCTTCTCTTGCACTATGTTCCCTGCCACTCTTCTCTCTTATGGCTTTGTCTCACCCCATCCTACTCCAGTACAGAAAGGAATAAAGATACTCTTCACTTGAGAGGTAAATCTCTGCATCCCACAGAGAAAGCATTAGAACAGCATCCCAGCGTATGGTGTATCCTCAGTCAGGCCCGGCTGCCCCAAGTACCTTATTTCATCTTGTCAAGTCCAGACACACTCTGAAATGTGTGTTGGGGTCAAAGATAATCATGAATACATGTCTATAAGGCATCTCAGGATCCTAGAACAGGGTCTGGTGAAGGGAAGTCAACTAGCCTTAGAGGAAAGGAATGGGTGCCCAAGATTTCAGGGCTATTGCCCTGAAATAGCAGTGAGAATTCTTTTCTTTCCCAAACACTGTACTCTTGAAAATCCTTTAGTACATGTGGTAGGTTTTGAAAGGTATCAGACTTTTCCAGTTAGCTGACAAATGGCGAAATAATTAGTATATCGTTAGAACAAAGAGGTCCTTTTGTTCAGTCCTGTAGAACCCAAGACTTAGGTAACCACTAGGACTAGAGGCACTAGAGGCTGACAACATGGGAATTATCTCTGGTACTCTTCAGAGATGGGCCAACCTACCCCTTGACTCAACAGGCCATAGAATAAGCACCTGCGAGCTATTTTGAACATGTGTGGAGGGCCAGCAGCAGCTGGGGTTATAGTTGAAATGAAGGATGGTGAATGTTATGATCTGGTAGCTTTTAAAAGCTTCTCGGCATCACACTGGAAAGTTCCTGACAGTTTTCTAGACAAACTTTTAACAGTGAATCCCCAGAAGAATGGTTGATGATGCCTTCTCATCTCATATAGACATCATGCCAACAGAGCCAAACGGCAAGGACCTCACCACTTGGACAAGTCCAGAAGCACTAAGCCAAAGGAAGAACTGAACTGTGAACAAGCATCACTTGCCTCTTTGATCAGGTTCATAAATCTGGGTCCAAGGCGCCATGGCTTGTGTCGATGGCACTGCAGGGAGCTGACAGTCAGCTGGGAAGCCCGGTGGGAGGCAATGGCCACCATGTACACAGCATCATACATCAGAGCTGCTTCAGTCTGTGGAGGAAGACACACACCACATCTTCAATTCCACCTTTGCTTAGCTTCCTTTACCTGCGTAATCACCCTGCCTGCTTCCTTATCTTCTATTTTTCTGAACTCAGCAGCCATTTATTCTCCAGTTGAACACCTGTCATTCTCCAATAACTATTTTTCTCTAAAATAATACCTGATATGCCAGAAAAAATTGTAGTCATGGCTCTGCTTTGTTTTAAGTTCTTAAAAAGAAAAAAGAAATGGAACTTGGATCAGCCACAAAAGACTTGACTCAGGGAACAAATATTTTTGGAGTGTCTAATGGTAAGCCCAATGTTAAGATCAACTACATTGAGTTAGAGGTTCAATATTGGATTCTTTTTCTCAGTGTTTACCTATCTATCAGTCTATTTACTTGTTTATATTTGGTAGAAAGAAAGTGCTGTGAGTAAAATTAACATGTGATTTTCAGATAAGGATACTCATGTTAGGACACTTCCATTTACCAGAGTCAAGAAGGCTGTAGTCATAGAGTGAAATTCAATGGCAGATTTGAAGAGACCTTCTGAAGAACAGACATGTGGAACTTCCTCAGAAAATATGTACTCTTGTTAGCACTTACTTTCCCGATAGAGATTATAAGTAGTCATTCCTTTGGGGAGCTGGACATATTCTTCAACTCCTCATGAAATTTCTCTCATTTGCAAAATTTCACATAATGCTCTCAGCATTTTATAAAATATACTGCCCTGTGGTTTTCTTTAAGGATAAAATCTTATGAAACCTTCATATTTTACTTGAGGATTTTCATAGCAACTTCAAATATATTAGCTCATTTGAAATTCTCAACAACCCCACAAAATAAGCAGAAGAGATGGATTAAACTATTTATTATGTAGGAAATTGACCTCCAGACAGTATATTGATTTGTGTAAGGTCATACATATAGCCAGTAATTGGGTAGTTAAACCAAGAATCTAGGTCTTATAATGAAGACTATCATGCAGTTTTCCAAAATCAGTTGATTTATTCAACATATATTTATTCATCATTTATTGAACATGTCTTGATGGAGGTAGAAAGAGAAAATAAGGGGAACTACATCTTGCATTCTATTAATCTTTGAGTCCAGAGAATATCTCTACTTTGAATACTTATTATCCTGTTCAATCTCTATCACTGCATTTTCCATATACTATACTTATTGTTTTTACATCTCTTTCTTGCTCAACTTCATTGTTTAGTGGCTAGCACAGTTCTTGGCACATAAAAGTTGTTTAATAAATGTTTGCTGAAGGAATTAATATTATTTCATGCTTAAAATAAAATACGCTTTTGTGAAAACTGTATAATCCCAAGGTTTTATGATGTATTTCTAAGAATAATTGCTTCACTCATACTTAATATGAGTGATATATAGAAGCTGTGATGGTGATAATTGTTAAAGCTTAAAAATATTCTGGTCATGTCAGTTCAAGACTGATATAATCCATTTTATAGATCAGAAAGGGAAATTAAGTGACTAGTCTAAGGCTAATCTATTGACAGAATGAGACTGTTAAAAATGTAATCTATCATAATAGCTGGCATTTATTGAGCACTCATATGTCAGGTGCTATTTCAAATATTTTGAAAACATTTAATCTTCACCATGACTTCTACTCCTTTACGGATGAAGAATTGACAAGGTTAAATGTTGCCCCCAAACTAGTGGTGGGAAAGCCAAGATTCAAATGCAGGAAGTTGGTGTTAGAGTTTATGCTCTCAACCACAAAGCTGAACTGCTTCTAAACCAACTATTTGTCTGATGATTTAATGATTATAATAATAAGTCAACAGTGGTCAATATCCATTGATGATTAACTACGTGCCAGGCACTATAAGCATTTTACAAGTTGTCTCCTTTAATTACTGAAGTTAAACCTTTGAGGTAGGTATTGTCCCCATTTTACAGACAGAGAAATTGAGGCTTGGAGATATAGGAAACAACTTTAATAACTTGCCTAAAGATATGTAGCCAGTAAAGCAAGGAATGAAGATTCCATCTCAGGATGAAAGTTTAGATTTCAGAGCTCATGCCCTTAACCACTATGCTATGGGGACCTGGACCTTTTTAGCAGTGCAATATGCCTTTTTGAAACACTTTGGTATATATATTCACTAACTGGCTGATTGATTTGATAGAGAAGTGTGAGGAGAGGAATTCCAATGATCTAACTTTTTCATAAACTTAACGTAGAGACTAGGATTTTAACTTTCTTTGTCAAGGTTGTCTCTACACTGGGCCAGGTAATAACAAGATTCAAAACTATAGACCTGACCAGTGCTTTCCAAATTCAAGGAAAAAAAACATTTATTCTTAAACTATGCTTCCCCTTGTCATAAAGTGTTTTCTTAAATTGAGGAGATATTTAAGTATTTTATAGCACAAATGAACTACCACTGAATTTCCTCCCCTTTTCAGTTTTATGCTGGAGGCCTGCTTACCAAACAGCAACTCTGAAGTCATTTTAGGTAAATGTAAAAAAGAAAAAGAAAACTGGCGTGTGTTTCAAATATGTTTGTGTTCACATTTTATTTGCATCTAAAGCCTGGAAGAGACCACAGTGCTCAGCGCCTGTAAGAGAAGCTTTTTGTAACAACATGTATCATGAAACAGTCATATTGAAAGTGGGCTTCTTGCCAATGCACAATGTTTTGGTTATTACAATGATGTGCAATAAAGGATTAACTCAGAGGGCTCAGGATGCTCAATCTCTGCACATTCCGAAGAAAGGATTAGCCTTTGACTGGCTTCTGGGAGATTACCTCCTTAAAATATCCTGCCTGATCAGAGTATCGTTGTATCCCTGGGGTCTTGGGTAATGCAAATAGTTTATGCTAACAGTGTGATTTATGGTGAATGCCTGTTTTTGTTCACTTGGGGCTCTGGACCATGCCATATCAGTTTGACCTCTGGAGTGGCTGGAGACCAACTAAAGTCAGCTGTGTAGGTGCTCTATGCCTATGTGACTGACCACCCCCACACACACACATAAAATCCCTGGACACCAAGGCTCAGATGACCTTCCCTGTTGGCAACACTTCATAATGTTGTCACACATCTTTGCTGTGAGAATAAAGCACTGTCAATGCAACTGTCCTGGGAGAGGACCACTAGAAGCTCATGCATGGTTTCTTCTGGACTTGGTCCTTTGTGAGTTTTTCCTTTGCTGATTTTAATTTGCATCCTTTTACTGTAATAAACTGTAACTGTGAGTATAACATCTTTTCTGATTTCTGTGAGTCCTAGCAAATCATCAAATATGAATGTGGCCTTGGAGACCCCAATACAAAACAATGAGATGCTACGTCACCTTAGGGATGAGGACTAAAAACATGATATGGCCCTATGGAGTCTCCACATTTATCTGCCTGCCTGGTATGTAACTGTTGTTGGAGAAAGCTAGAGGAGACAGGGAGACCTAGCCTTTGGAAAGCAAATGAGCAAAAAGTATAGATTTCCCATTTTCTCTCCAAATTTAGAAACGTTCTCACTAACCTGATATGGATAGACAAGTCAGTTCTCTAGGAGGGAAATACTTTAAAATAATACCTCATCCCCCTCATTTCCTGAATTTCCTTTCTTTCATGGTGTTAACAGTTTCCTCTATTACAATGCAAATATCTCACCCACAGCATAGAGGTAACAGAAATTTGTCTCTTAGTATGAATTAGCTGGTTTCCCTCTTTTCTGAGACATGCCTCTTGAAGTAATGAGGATTCTGATAAGGGTGGGAGGACTAGTGTTTTGCCTACATGAGCCCTGCTAGGGAGAAAAAGCTGGTGGGGGTGGATGCTTCTGACGGTATGAAAGTGCTAGGAGAGGTGGTGAGCACGCAGGAAGTAGGGGAGAGCAACTCAAGAGAGAGCTGGGGTTTAGAAACAGGTTGTGGAAGGTAGCAACGATATCACCATGTACTCACAGTCTAGAAATTCAGTAATTAGGACTGCAGCTCTGGCATGTCCAGTGAGGACTGGCCCAGAAGTTGGCATATTGTGAGCCTCAATGAGTATTTGCCAGCTTTTGAGAAAGACAGGAATAGGGGAAAGAGAACTATATGTGGAGTTGGAAAACAGACCTGAGTGATGCTACTGGTCATACAAGGTCACACATGTCCCAGGGAATAAGCCACCTTGGGCTATATGTGCAAACTGAGGAATGTGTCTCTTGTAAATAAATGGATTCTGGCTTCAATAAGACAGAATAATAATTCTGCCTCTGTATTTCAGAACGTCTTTTGTTCTTCTTTGATTGACTACAAATTGGCAGAACAGCAGGTATCATCAAATAAATTCAATTCTATGTTCCTAAAGACTTTATATATGTTAGTTGATTTAATTTGTAAAGTAACACTGTAAAGTATTATTATAGAGATTTACAGATGAGCTAGGAGGTTCAGAAAGACTAAATAATTTAGGTTATTTAGTTATTCAGGGATATAGCAAAGACTAAAAACTAGGCTTTTCCTTATCTGGAAAGATCTTGCTTTTTCTACTGAATCTCACTGCCTATTGTCTTTCATCACAAGGGTAACAGTGGACACTCAGGGTGGACACTAAAGTTGGACACTCAAAGTGGTCTTCTCTGTGGATCATTATAGGAAAGACTTAGATGTAAGATAAGGGTACTGACTTAACTACTCATCATGAGTGCATTTGAAGAACTGGGAAGGCAGATGACATCGATGTTTTGCTGTTCCCATGACTCTGCAGTATTGAATCATACACAATTTTAGGTTCAAAATCAGAGAAGACTCCATCTGAGAATGGGCCACTCCATTACTCTAGTCTATCCTCAAAAGCCAATAGATCAAATTAGCCCAAATGCTGAGAGAAATTTAAACATAGAGAAAAGGAATGAAGTAGATTTTACAAAATCACTCTAAACTTCAAGAAAGTTAATTAACATTTTGGTTGATAAAACACTTTTTTTAATATCTCAAGATGTTTTCAAATAATGAGTTTCACTATTTTTGAACTCTATTGACTCGGTAACAGTTTTCTTAACTCAATTTTAACCCTGTTTTTGGTTTTTGTTTTTTTGCGGTACATGGGCCTCTCACTGTTGTGGCCTCTCCCGTTGTGGAGCACAGGCTCCGGATGCGCAGGCTCAACGGCCATGGCTCACGGGCCCAGCCGCTCCACTGCATGTGGGATCTTCCCGGACTGGGGCACGAACCCGTGTCCCCTGTATCGGCAGGCGGACTCTCAACCACTGAGCCACCAGGGAAGCCCGTAACCCTGTTTTTTAAAGTCAATATTTTTTCTCTAATTAAATTTATGTTTCTTAAATCTGAAGTCAAAATTTTTGGACTTAGACATGGCCTACTTCTTATTTTCAGATTTGGATGTGTTTTGACATAATACTATTCTTTGAGGATATTTTTAGTGTATGATGTTCTAAGAAATTCTTAATAGTTAAAACTTTGAAGAGGAAAATAAACAGGTGGAAAGTAAAAATACATAAGTTAGAAAAATTCCTATATTATATATTCATATGTACATCTGTGTATGTATGTGGCACACAGAAAAATATGACTATAAAGGGCTACAGGGAAATTCACTTTGGAGAATGGTGGGATAATGCGTGTGATTTAGGAGAAAGAAATTCTATTATAGTAGGGTATTACTTAAATATTAATAGTGGTTGGTCTATGGCTAATTTTTCAAATAACATTATTACTTTAGAATAATCTATTTACTAATCATGTCCACTTCTCATTTATAGAAGCTCTCTTTGAACTTTTGCAGTATTATTTCAGGCCTACATGAGTATTTTTCATTTAATATCTTGAGTCTTAGTAGACCTCAATTCATATTTATTTAGCACATTAATTCCTTTATTAAATACATATTTATTGAAGATCTGCTCTGTGCCAGTCCTTTCCTGGTGCTGGGAATAGAGCAGAACACGAAAAGACAAAATCTCCAGCTTCATGGAGTTCATGTTGTTATAGGGGATGACAACGAACAAATATAAACATGACGTATTGTCATAAGGGCTACAGAGAAAGGTAAAGCAGGTTAGGGGAGATGACAACAAACAAATATAAATATGACGTATTGTCATAAGGGCTACAGAGAAAGGTAAAGCAGGTTAGGAGAGGGGGAATAACAGGAAGGGGACTTATTATATTAGGTAGCAGGTTCATAGAAGGCTTCTCCGGTGAGGTAGCATTTGAGCAAACCTGAAGAGGGGAAGGTTCTAGGCAATGGAAGCAGCAAATCCTGGAGATGCAAGAATGAATGGAATGCTGGACCTGAGATATATAGGCCCAGTGGAATTGAAACCAAAGGACTTTTTAACTTTAAGGTAGAGAAGAAAGAGTTTGAGTACAGAGGCAATTTGAGAGCAAAGACCTGTTAGCACTGGGCCTGGGCTTGGGGACTTGGGGTGTGCTCTCTTGACTCAATGATCAGTCCTTTGGATGCCCTTATACTTGTCCTTTAACCTTTCTGTGACTCTGTTTCTATATCCCCAAATTAGCCGCCTCTACTAGAAGCCAAAAGGAAATAGTGAACTGCAAAATGGACTCTTTGGATAAATAAAGGTCAACACTATGCTTCACAGGATCAATTTCAAGGCTCTATCTTGAAATGACGATGGGATCCGACTACTAGTGGGCAACTGAGTGCTACCACTGTTTTCGACTAATAATGTCATGCCCTAACATAGCTACTGTACCCAATTTTACAGCAACCTGGCGAGCCACCGTCTTCTGTCCTAATAAATCCCCATTTCCTTTTTATAGTTTATTATAATAACAATAACAGCAATAATAACAGAGACCCCTCTGGTTAGATGAAAAGACAATGAGAAACTCTAGACCGAATGGGATCTCTCATCCACTGGGAACTTGGCTCTGCCATGCTTCCTGTCCACAGGACCGCTGGGCCTGATTGGGTGAGAATGGAATGGCTCTATCTCCCTCATTCAGTGGTTTGCTTCATCTCAGTCAATATGTACAAACTGTTGTGTCAGCTCAGTATAACTGAAGGGAACAGGCACTTCTTTGCTACATTAAGCCATACTTGTGATGAATATTTAATGTTTGTCGCGAATCCACAATCTGTGTTAATATAGCTCCAAACTATAACTCTTTTAGGCGTACATACCAAGCATAGGTAAAAACCTCATCCTGTGATAGAGATCTTGTTTGGGAGGTGGGGTTGGGGTATGGGCAGAAGATTTTGAATCATATTTGAACACACTGGAATTATAAATCCAGCAGGAAACCTCCCCCCCCCAAAATTAGCACCTCTTTCTCTCTCGCTCACTCGCTCCCTCTCCCTCCTTTTCTCTCTCTTTCTTTAGCTTTTCTTCTCCCTTTTCAGAAGTCTAGTATGTCCCTGGGTATTCTCTACTTAATCTTATTCAAAGCAATGTTTCAAATCATCCTAAGACTCATTTGTACCAAAATGCTTTCTATCATTATCTTTCAGATCTCTTTGTGTATTTTGAGTTATTTCAGGTTTAAAAAAACAGAGACCTTGAACATGGGATCCTCCAGAACCACTTCATTTATTCATTTATCCTTTTTTGTCATTTGTACCTCATTTAAAGAAGGTAGAAAAAGAAGAGAAATCTCAAGTTTATTTCTATGTGCGATGATACCTTTCAGTTACCAGTAAATTGCATCTTAAAAGCAGTAGTGTTTCTCCTGATGATGGGAACAGAGAATGAAATACTATGCCAATTTAAAATGCTATTACCTGCCCACATTCCCAATATCTTTTCCTTTGGATGACACTGTTCCGGCACAGAAATCTTTTTTTTTTTTTTTTTCCTGCAATTTTCTTCCATCACACAGGGAGCTTCATTAGAGAAGTGCATTTGACAATAAGAGACAAATGATGTTAGTGAGAAGCTCTCTGATGAGGCAGTTTGCAATTTATCTGTTCAGCAGAGTACCTGTCTCTCCTTAGGAGGCAGGCTTGGCATCTGCTTCGAGAGCGACATATGGCTGGTATAAAGCACTGTCAGTGTCTGCAGAGGTGTACCTCCATGTACCCAGGATGGGAAGAATGTGAACACACCAACTCTATGGAAATCCAGATTTTTCCACATGCACTTCTGCTTGCTGAGATGTAGGAGAAGCAAGGAAGACAAGCTGGTTCTGCAGAACCTTTATAGGCAGCTTGCTCCTCTCTTTCCCTCCCTCCTTCCCAAGGTCACATTCCCAGGGGCAACCCTCTCCCCACTTACCCTTGCTTTTGTTTATGCTTTGTCTCCATTTGGCTGACAGTGGTGGCTACTCCTGTTAACTTTTTTATCTGAGGCCATTACTCTCAGGAAGCTGAAAATAGCAGTTTTTGATAGTAGCCATGCACAGGCTTTCAAAATTGTAATCCCTATATATGAACCTTCAAGTTGTGAACTTTCAAAGATTCAAATGTGTGTTTCATCAACTTCAGTCGTGAGTGAAATTGCAGTTTGCCCTCCGTCTCCTATTGCTGATGATCTGTCAGCTCTGCCATCTCCCACTTCCTCTCCCATCTCCAGTCAGTAACTCTTCTTGCCTGTTCACTCGATGCCAGCCTCTGTATGCCAGCTGTTGGACTGTACTAGTGTACTTTTCAAGGCACTGTACTGTAAGGTTAAACATGTTTCCTTTATTTTTTGTGTTTGTTTGTTTTCTATGTATTATTTCTGTGAAAAGTATTATAAATCTATTATAGTACAGTATTATATAGCCTATTGTGTTAGCTGGGTACCAAGGCAAACTTTGTTGGACTTACGAATGAATTGGACTTACGAACGTGCTCTTGGAAGGGAACTCGTTCATATGTAGGGGACTTACTGTACATAAAATGTTTTCTCCTCTTCTCATACAAGTCAAGGCACAGGTTATAACACTTTTCCTCTCACTATGAAAAGCATATGAGATTCTTTTTTTTTTTTTTTTTTTGGTACGCAGGCCTCTCACTGTTGTGGTCTCTCCCGTTGCGGAGCACAGGCTCCGGACGTGCAGGCTCAGCGGTCATGGCTCACGGGCCCAGCCGCTCCACGGCATGTGGGATCTTCCCGGACCGGGGCACGAACCCGTGTCCCCTGTATCGGCAGGCGGACTCTCAACCACTGCGCCACCAGGGAAGCCCAAGCATATGAGATTCTTAACCTAACCTCTAAGGAAGTCAAACATCATCTCGAATGATTTTATTTTAAAACTACTTACTGTCATCATGCCATCCAAAAGACCAGTCCCAGGCCTGGGTGGGGCCTGCAGTCTCTCCATGGACCACTTCTCAATGATGGATGACACGTGAGGATTGTCAACATTAAGCAGCCGAAACCCGGTCATATTTACACCACTGTACCTATAGAGTTCCAGATCTAAAGCAAATAAGTCCTGCGCAGTATTAAAAATGATAAAAGTAGAAAGAGTTAACATTTTCTGTGCTCTTTAGGCAAAAGAGAACTAATGATTGTAGAAGCAACAAATGATTAAAACAAGAATGGCAGCCATCATCACACTGGTTCTATAAAAGAACATTTCCTCTTGTTTTTCACTTGCATGCTGCCTGACAAACTCTAAGTAATCAGTTTTCATTTTCATCCTTTTTTCTTTTTTTTTTTTTTTTGCAATACCGTTAAAGTTGGTATAAACCAAGAACAAGAATTTAGCTGCCAATAATTAGTATGCCCTTGGGAACAGGATGTGACATTCTGAGAAGCTAGAGAATTCTGTTCCTAGGATATAGTCTTTGGGGAATTGAAAAGGATCTTTGTGTCCATTTGATTCACTGCTTTTATTTTCTAGATGAGGAAACTGTGGTTCTGAGTTGTGATGTGACTGGCCTGAGAATGATCCACTTGTCAGTGGTAGTACCACCCTTCTCCCTCAAAACTTGCTGCCCCAGGCTGCCTTGAATCTTGCAAAGGAGGTGAAGTTTGGAACTTGCATATACATTTGATGGAAAGATAACTCTCAGCAAAAAAAAAAAAAAAAAAAAATACCATTCCCTTGCTCACTGAAAATAACCTATGTCCCATATAATGAGAGCATAAAGAATGCCTGGGGCAAATAAGTCCTGAGCAATATTAAAAATGATAAAAGTAGAAAGAGTTAGCATTTTCGCAAGCTTAGAATAAGAACCAAAGTGTTCTCTTCAGAGAATAAACTGGAGCCTATGGTTGTGTTGATGTATCTTAACAGTAGTATTTGTTCCCTTTTAGATAATGTTGCAGGGAAAAAACTTGAACCCACTCTAGTATTTTCCATTACAGGTGAAGCTGAGTGTAAACCAGAAGTTTATGTTGGCTCATGTTTAAAATAGACTTAAGTGATTATTTCAACTTTTTCCTGTAAAGAAATGTTAGACACTAAAACATATCATTAAAATATCTCACATTTATGAATAAACCAAATTTTCAAAATAGCATTTAACAGTTAATAAAAGAGAAAAACTTCCATAAAAATTACTTACCAATGTAACTGCTTCATGAAAGAACAATACAAAACAGTACATTATTTCTGATGATAGTGGTTACTAAAGAGAAGTAGCTTCAGAAACACTCTGTGATTTATATGTGCAGAAGATGCATATAGATTTATTATTTTGAATAACTCTTTTCTACATCACTAGTTCTTCCCAAGATAACTTTGGATTAGACTGTAGAACTATAAGAATGCACCTCTGAACTCGCTCATGTAAGAAAAAGTATACTGTCTTTTAAATTGTTATATTTATTTCCCTTGCACTAACTAATTTTTTCTTTAAGTTTCCTTAATACTCATGAGCAAGAATGGTAGGAATATAAAAGCAAAAAATGGCAGAATGCAGATAAAACCAAAGGAAATTGCTTAAAGAAGCAAATTTAAAGAATAAGACCCAAGGAAGAATGATTCCTTTAGCACACTCAATGAATAGAAGGAAAGTTACTCAAGATACAGGGGATTCAGACAGAAACTTCCAGGATGCATATTGAATCCCTTATTAATTCAACAGTACAAAAATACAATGTGCTAAAATGGATACATTAAGCATGTGCAAAATTAGCTTGGTTTCCAAATTGTTTCTATGCAATATACAATATGGAAAATTTGAGGCCCAATTTTCAGCATCCCCTTGTTAGTGGAGGTTGAGGAAAGCAAGAGTGTGAGGGCAACTGGTTTGTCCTTCCATTGAAGACCAACCTTCTTAGGTTTCTTTGTTTATATTTTTCTCAAATTTCAACGAAGCCAACTCAACTTGTGTGTACACCTGGGAAGGATAGGAAGTTCTAAGGCAGATGGCAATCTCACCTTGAGTAAGACCTACGTGTTCATGGTGATGGGGAAAGGACCATATTTGTGATCATAGTAAGATACTTTCCAGTTCTCAGGGTCTCCCTCAACTGTTCTGACAGAGAGCCTGATCAGGATGTCAATGAAGGAGGGAAGACCACGGAAACTTTAGTTCAGGAATTTCTGCCCTGCATTCCACTCCCTAGCTCCAAACTCAGGAGCAGTGATAATTTTGACAACTGCCCCAAAGCATTTGTCTCATGGCATCCTCTGCAACCCTTCATGCTCTTAGAAATACTTGAGTTAGGAGTGGAATTTACTACTTCTAGAAGTATGTGTATGGTAGCTGCCTGATCCTTGTTCCAAATTCTTTGATTTCCCTAATGTACTAGCCTGCCTTGCCAGTTTTATTTGGTAAAATGATACTCTTACTGAATCTCCCAAAATCTGGGTAGATTTTAGTCGACACACTTTTATAGGTTAGAAATGGAGGTTGGCTCTGTATTTTCTTCTCACGTAAAAGAGTGGAGTGTATGTGTTGGGAGGGGTGTACTGTGTGTGTGTGTGTGTGTGTGTGTGTGTGTGTGTGGCGAGAGCTATCACATCATTTTGATTTGTTAACTGCCTAAATCATTCTCCTTGATCTGATAATCTGTCAAAATTTAAAGTTGTATAGGTTCTTTTGAATTTCTCCAGCTTAGAGCCATGATTTTTCTTATGATGAAAAATGTTCAATGTGGAAAGCATCTCCCAAGCTCTTTATCTTGATGGTCTTCAAAACACCTGACAGGTGAACCTTGGCTAATCCAGCTATCCACTGGACACAGGTGGGGAAATCACATCAGATCAAAGAATGCCAAGATACACTTCAGTGTGCCCTCTAATGTATATAGAAAATGTAGATGATTCTTCTTTATTAATAGTTTGTATTTTGGCAGTTTCTATTTAATGAAAGCTTGATTTTAATTCCTTTCTGGGTGCACTTGCATTGATGCTAGTTAAGAAAGGAAGAAGAAAGAAAGAAAGAAAGAAAGAAAGAAAGAAAGAAAGGGAAAGAAGGAAAGAAGGAAGGAAGGAAAGAAGGAAGGAAGGAAGGAAAGAAAGAAGAAAGAAAGAAACAAAGAAAGAAAGGGAAAGAAAGAATGAAAGAAAGAAAGGAAGGAAGGAAGACACCTGCTGTTCAGCATTTCTGGATTTAGAGGGTTCTTAGGAAAGTAAAACAAATCTCCATGACAATAACTTGCCTTGACACTGGTGGGGCTGACTTAAAAATAACTGAAGATGTTTTTTATAGTGTGGAATACATTTCCACCAGATATGCTTACCAGGGTTGTGAAAAAGTAATGATAGTACTCAGTCATCATGCCCATGAACAGGATCTGCAAAAGAGAAATAAGAGAAGAATCAGAAACAGAATTATAATAAGAAATCGATAATTAGTAGGTTGACTGCAATAGCTTGGAGACATAGAATAGGAAGGGGCTTTGGAAATCCATAGACCAAGTAGATCAGAAACCTGAGACAAACCAATGATCGATGTGGAGCTAGGATCCAGGCCACTGACCTCCATCCAGTGCACTTTCAGTATGCTATGTTTGACCTTCATGGAAGTATTTGGTCTGACGATCAAATTTAAAATTAGTTTATGCTCAAAATATTTTATATCTGGAGTTGTCCATAATGGCAGAGAGCTTTGCCTTTCCTACTCCCTGGGTTTCTGAGTAATCCCATGCTTAGATATATATTTTATTGATCTCCTTAGTTTTAGTACTTATCATAATGCCCCAGAGTAAAACTCATTAAATGTTAAATTGGCAATGCTGATATGTAGATATATTTAAATGAGGATTTATAAATATGTATATCTCGGAAACCCTTCTCTCTACCCCTTTTCCATCTTATCCCATAGAGTGAGTAGGGGAAGAGAGGATTGTTTATAGATAGAAGGATGGGGACTATTTTTATACCAAGTCTCGCTGCCTCTTAATTCTGAATCTGTTACCTAATTGGGACCCTGACAGTTCCAAACATTCTGTGTATATTGTCTTTATTTGGTGGGGAGGGGCAAAAAGGAGGTAGACAGAAAGGACAGGGGTTCTAGGTAGAGGTAGTTTCTTAAAACTGTGATTTTACTTTTGGATTCCTGAAAATGGTGTCCACTGAGAAGAAACAGTTGCAAATGCTTTGGAGATAAGATATTGTCATCAATCTTTTAAATCAAGAGTATCACCTTCCTTGGTGCAGGTCACAAAGGACTGTTTGAGTGCTGTATTTTTGGTATTTGCATAGAAATGAATGGAGAAGATTCAGAAATGAAACTTTCAAGACAGTTTCCCCCACAACTCTGATATATTCTGGATGCAAATGAGAATCCCCTCTGGAAGTTTTAAAATCAGATATTCTTAGGCTCCATCCCAAAGACATCCAGAATTAGAATTTCTGAGAGTGGAGCTTCTGTATTTCACAGCAGTGGCTGATAATCACTGCTTTATGGAAAACATGTCCATTTGCATTAAGGAACAAGGACTGAACAAGGACTTCAGCTGAAGAGATGGATTGAAAAGTTCTTCAGAAAAGCAACACAAGTTATTGAAGTTCTTATAAGGTGTCTAAGATATGTAAACTAGAATGATTTTACATGAAAGGGGATAAAAAATGGAGAGGGTATTTGGAGACGGCATGTAACATACACGAGCACAGATCTGACACTTCTTATGCCCTCTCTGCTAACATGGAAACCAGAGGAATATTTGGTGAAATTGTAATGTCATGAAGGCAAGAAAAATGACAGGAAACTCTCTCTATGAATCATAAGCACACAGTATGTAAGTCACTCCTATGGTGATAACAAGACCAGGTGCACAAAAGGATTTTTAAAAGGGTAGGATTGCTTTAGGGCCATCAATAACATTGAAAATCATGCGTGGTGAGGTCTTATTAGCTGGTCTCTTATATCACTGGAGCATAAAGAGCTAACCTGCTGAGGTCAGTCAGGAATTCAATTTTTCATTTAGGTTGTTAGTATAATTGCAGGCAAGACTATCTCTTGAAAGGGAACTGGAAAGTTTTATGTCAAGATATAGACCTGGACACTGAGGTTTAAAATATTGTTGCTGAAAAAACACAAAGGCACCTGAGTTTCCAGCTTTTCACATGGGCTAATTTTTCTTTTTAAACTTTATTGTGGGGGCATTTGATCACCATTTGAGAGTATAGGCTTTTTTTTTTAAGCAACCATTCAACTAATTATTATTATTTATAATTTCTGGAAGCAAATATTCATTTGATATGTCTCTTACTTAATGTTAGAAAAGAGTCATGCAGATGCAGTGAATAAATAACTAATGGACCTGCTTTTGTAGCAGAAAGAATCCTTGGGCCTTCCAGATACACTTTTTATTTGATATACTAGAAAAGTCCCCCTTCTTGACTTTCCTACCTAGTGCCTGGGTCAGTGCTTCCTGGTTCTTCCCTTGAATTTCCTAGAAATGAAAATTAAGAAAAAAGTATAGTCATGGATCACTGAGCTGTCAATTTTATGGACTCTCTAGGACACGGGTGAATGAGAAATTTTTAGATAGAAATAAAGCCAATAGCACCAAATCTCTTTATAATGGTTTGTACACTGGTTGGGATTGGCTGCTCTGCTGTCAAATGGTAGTATACTTTATACTTTATAGCATTCACACCACGATTTTCTCTCTGCATGTTGGTATTTCAGCTAAAAGTCATTAACGGTTTACGAAAATGTCATATCAAGATAAACGTCAGTTTTTCAAATAGTGTAATCATGATATGGGGATTTTTAAATGGTTCTTTGCAAAACTGACTTTTTCTTAACAAACACTACCTTGTTTGAATTTTTTTACTGTATTTTGCTGGATTGACCAGGAGGCACTGACTTAGGCAGTGTACACTTTACCAAGACAGTATTACTAGGAACTAGTTTTGCTCTATTTAAATCATTTTTAATGGTGCAAAACACATCACATCACACACACTAATAAGTAATAAACGTGGCTGTCAATACTATTTGTACTGATGGCACATTCCCCTTAATTGCTTCCACCAATACTTTAATAATGGTTGTTTCCTAACAGAATTATTCTTATTAAATATCCCCTTGAAACCTTATTATTGACATAGATTGATAGACTGTAAAAACCTAGCCCTTTCAATAACATTTTATATCTATAGTAGGGATGTATTTAATACCTATTAGTCTTCTTGATTTTGGAAGACCCATAGTGTGGACTTCATTAGTGCCATTTCCAATTTTCCAATGTGATGTGATTGTATTTCCTGGCCCCTTGTGCTTGGGTGGAGCCATGCGCTGGTTTTGGCCAAGGAAGTGGGAAAGATACTGACATATGTCACCCTCCAGAGATCTCACTCACCCTGACAGGTGACTACCATGATTATCAGTGCCCGACAAGCCGTTTTTTTGTTTTTGTTTTTCTGAATAAATACAATTGTCTGTTTCATGAATACTTCAAGGTATGTCATGACTTTCTTTTGATTACTAGAGACTTTAGGGTCAAAATTGTGGGTCCTCCATTAGCAACTACTCAGGAACATAGGGTATATATTCTATGTACTAATGCCATTCAGCTTTATGTTTTTCTTTAACTTTTCCCTTGGTACCAACTCTGTCCCTTTCTTAAAAAATATTTATGACTTTTTTTCAAATGTATTTTTCTAGGCTGCTTCAGTTCTTTGTATAATAAAGATATAACATGAATAAATTATCATGGTTGGGAGAAGCGGAATATTTTTTTTTTTCCATAAAGAGAGATGAACAATTCAGATCTGATATAGCTGGGTTGGGTTAGGGTAACAAAAAGGCCTCTAACAAAATACCATTCATAGTTAATCATATTCTATGTCCTTGCAGAATCAATGATAAGAACTCAAAAGTTCTTGTAGATGGTGGTGGTTCATTTTACATGTCAACTTTACTGGGCCGAGGGGTGCCCAGATTAAACGTTATTTCTGGGTGCGTCTGTGAGGCTGTTTCCAGATGAAATAAGCTTTTGAGAGAGCAGGTGACTCTTCCCAATATGGTGGGCATCATCCAATCCACTGAGAGCTTGATTAGAATAAAGAGGCAGAGGAAGAAGGGATTCACCCCTTTTCCTTCCTGCCTGACTGCCTAAGCTGGGACTTTGGCATGCTCCTGCCCTTTGACTGAGATTTTCACCACTGACTCTTCTGATTTTCAGGCCTATAGTTTCAGACTGTAATTACACCACAGCATTTCTGGGTCTCTAGCTTGCAAATGGCAGACTGTGGGCCTTCTCAGTCTCCATAGTTAAGTGAATCAATTCTTCATAATAAATCTCTTCATATGTATTTCCTATGGGTTTCTCTGGAGAACCCTGGCTAATACAGAGACCAATACCAAAATACTAAAAGTCCTACATACTCTGCATATGTATGACATTCCTTTCTATCTAGATAACACAATCCTTAAACAAGTGAGGGGAAGAGAGGCTGACACCTACGTGAAGTCCTTCTCTGTATTATGCTATTATGGAAATGCCACAGACTATTCTATTGTTTCAGTGGCTAGAAAATAATTACTGTTTTCTTTCTTTTGTAGTCAAAATGAATCATCAGAAAGCAGAATAAAACTCATTGGCATCTTTACTCTTGTCCTGCCCCCTAGGTTCATCAGAACCATTTTTTTCTTTTTAGATTCCATGTATATGTGTTAGCGTATGGTATTTGTTTTTCTCCTTCTGACTTACTTCACTCTGTATGACAGACTCTAGGTCCATCCACCTCACTGCAAATAACTCAGTTTTGAGAATGGACTTGAGGACACAGGGAGGGGGAAGGGGAAGCTGGGACGAAGTGAGAGAGTGGCATGGACATATATACACTATCAAATGTAAAATAGATAGCTAGTGGGGAGCAGCTGCATAGCACAGGGAGATCAGCTTGGTGCTTTGTGACCACCTAGAGGGGTGGGATAGGGAGGGTGGGAGGGAGACGCTAGAGGGAGGAGATATGGAGATATATGTATACATATAGCTGATTCACTTTGTTGTACAGCAGAAACTAACACACCATTGTAAAGCAATTATACTCTAATAAGCACGCTAAAAAAAAAAAAAAAAGAACTCATTTGCAGTTGACTCCTGGAAGGACAACTCTAATGACCCCACTGTTATCAAGGTTCTCTGAAGCACAGTTGTTGTTCACTAACTATGATGTCTCCACATCTGCCCAGCTGTTTTCTGGAGTTTTTACAATAGAACTCTCATGGCCTTGTTCACAGTAGTATTGATTCTCCCTGGTCAAGCTCTGTTGTTCTTTGCAAAGACGATCTTTTGGATTTAGATGAGTAAATGTATCACATACAGCCTGAGCATCA